AAAATATATACAGTATATATATTATATTTATAGTAAATAGTAAATTCTATATATATAGATGCTATAAATATATATAATATATTTATAGTAAATAGTATATATAACATGTATATTATATTTATAGCAAACAGTAAATTCTATTCTATTTAGATATTAGAAATATTAACACCTTGAAGATAAATATCAGCATAGCCTTTAGCAGGGCATTAATTACCTTTAAACATTTTACTTTTCCAAATATCAATTAATTAATTTGGCTGCTGATTCTCACAATATTTTTAAAGACATTCTCCAAATACCCAATGGCTATTAAAATATTAAGGATTTCAACATGATATTAATTATTTATGTCATACTTTTTATACTCAAAAATTATGTTGTTTATAATATTCTGGAGATAGACAACTCCTGTGATGAACTTAAATATTTATATTTCTTTTTTGAAAAAGTGATATACAATCAATAACTGACACTAGTGATAAAAGGAACATTGAAACAAATGAAAGTAACCTATAATATAGCTAATTTAACTAACTAGTATAATACTATACTAATTATACTAATTATAGGTCCTCTCTCAATTCTAAATGTCAAGGCACATGAAGAACATGGTTGGGTATGCCTGGCAGATGGCAATAAATATCCAATTGATGAATGTGAAGGGCTGAGGAAAGAGTAGGATGATAGAGGTGGAAAATTTTCCCTTTGGCAAAAGATACATCCACTTTTTACTTTTCTAAAATATAAATAAAATTGAAAAACAAAAGAAAAAAAGTATTTCAGAGCATATGTTCTTGAAAGATTAATGCAAATCTAGGCAGAGTTCTAGGCCAATTTTGGAGTACATTAAAAATGATTATGAAAATGAGTGTGTCATGTAATCTGGATTTCCCAGATTTGGAGGTTTTAAGTAAAATAATTTTTACTCTAAGAAGAAAATATAGTCTCATTACAGTTAAATATCTTACCACAAATATTTACCTAACATTTGGCAGTTGAAATTATGTATATTCTTTTATATTTGTGTGTGTGTGTGTGAGAAAAAGAGAGAGAGAGAGAGAGAGATGGGGAGAGAAAGAGAGAGAGAGGAGGGAAAGAGAAAGACAATGAACCAAAATACTCCAAACTGAAAATCTTCCAACACATTTTATACTTTTCAAGTAAGTTAATTCTAATTCTATAGAGGAATGTTGAACCTGGGGCTTTGCTGTTGTTTCTCAAGTTTGAGAAATTTCAATTGCATTCTGTCCATGTTGGCTGAAGAGAAACACATTAAACTAGCATACATGGAAACAGTGCGTACAGATACAAAGTAATTAGACTCTTACTACCTGTTGAGTTATTTCAATGTTTCTTTAAAATTTTAAGGCCGGGCGTGGTGGCTCACACTTCTAATCCCAGCACTTTGGGAGGCTAAGGCGGGCAGATCACAAGGTCAGCAGTTTGAGACCAGCGTGACCATTATGGTGAAACCTGCCTCTACTAAAAATACAAAATTTAGCCAGGTGTGATGGTGAGTGCCTGTAATCCCAGCTACTGGGGAGGCTGAGGCAGGAGAATCACTTGAACCCGGGAGGCAGAGGTTGCAGTGAGCCAAGGTTGCACCACTGCACTCCAGCCTGGGCAACAGAGAGAGAGACTCCGTCTCAAAAAAAAAAAAAAAAAAAAAAATGAGTTGGTACTCAGTCTACTAGATGCAGCGTGCTTTCTACTATTTGATGTGGATGATAGTGTTGAAGTTAATTTTGAAGTCTCAGATTACTTTTGAAAAGCAAATTCATTTTTCCTTGTTAATCTATTTATTACACAATTGCTCTCAATCTGTGTTTATTATATGTAACATTTTTATTTACAATATAAAATGTAATTTTTAAGCACATAGTTCAATGTTCCCAGGAATTTCTTTTTTGAGACTGTGTAAGTACATCACTGATTTCTGCTGCTTCATTGATAAGTGTCCCTTGATGAACTCTGTGTTCCCCTTAGCATTTATCTTATGACTACTTAGTTCAGGCTGATAAATAAAAGTTTATTAAAATATAAAGTAAATGACAGAAAGAATTGAATTCTTTGCTCACAAACATATAAAATATTATGACTCAAAATTACATTGGAGATTTTTCTAAATGTAAGATTATGTAATAAATGACCAGTGATTATAATTCAGCGGCAAGTTCTCTGCTCATTGTAGTATCATGTTCTTGAATAAAGATAAATGAGATCTTGGGAAAAGGTGCTTGAGACAAGAGTATGGTAGAGTGGTTTTAATAGATTCTCATCTTTCCTCATGGAAGTTGTCTGCTTTATAATTAAAGCTTAGTGCCTTGCCTTAATCTCATCACCAAAAGATTATATGAAAATTATATTGTAATGAATTGATATTAGGCAACATGGGCTGCATAATTAAATGTCAGGCTTTAACTAAAACAACATTTCCAAACTGTGATGTAAAGTTACATCATTTGTAGATTTTATTAAAAAAGTGTATGCCTTTTCCTTGCCGAATCAGAATCCTTGCTAATGGGACTAAGTGTGAAAAAAAATTAACCTGTCCAGTATGAGTCAAATCACAGTAATATATCAAATTTTAAGAGCAACTAGCTGAAATATTTTTGATTATTAATAAGATTTAAAAGTGTAATCAATTGCTATAGATCAAAGTTTAACTTTTTTAATTGCTACACTGTCACTGAGTAGTATTAAGCATTGAAATTGTAGGTTTACTGATAGATGTTTTATAAAAGATCAATAAAATGAGCCTTTCTGAATGTGGAGTGGAATGGATGATTAGTTTCTTGAATAAGAATTTGGCCATAATTGAAGTCTCATAACATTACCCACATAAATAAACAATCTCCATCATGTTATAATATTATTATTTTCTGTGCTATATATCTGCTAAGTTTATGATGTAACAGCAAAGATAAAATGTGTCAAGAAATAAGTTGATTTTATTTTTAATTTATACACAGCAACTTAAATTTTTCCAGCACATAGTTCAATGTGTGCAGTTTTGTAAATATTGAAAAATACATCATGTCATGTAACTACCCTTACAGTCAGGACACAGAACAATCCCCTCACCACAATTAAATTTTCTTATCCTGTCCCATTGTAGTCAGATCCTCTATTTTCCCTAATCCATGGGAAATAATGATCTATTTTTAGTCCATATACATTTGCATTTTCCCAGAAGTCATGTATATGAAATCCTACAAGATATAACTCTTTTTTTCTGTCTTCTTTCACTTAGCATACTCCTTTCTAGATGCAGACATGTTTTTGACATTCATCTGTTGTTCATTTGACTTTAATTCTAAGAGCTATTATATTGTCTGGGTGTACTAGAATGGTTATTTACTCACCCATTAAAAGATACTGGGATATTTTCAAATTTCAGTTATTAATGAATAATGTTTGTAAGTATATTTGTAAGTTTTTGAGATAGCTTTTTTTCTCTGATGAAATACTTGGAGCAGGACTGTTAGTTCCTATGGTAAGTGTATGTCTAACTTTAAATAAAATGCAAGGAAAGCAGAATCATAAGTAATAAACCAATATATACACACAGAGTGGAAGAAAGAGAAATTAGACACTGATGACATAAGTAGAGTCTTGCATTTTCTAGAGATTGAAGGATAGTTTACTCATAAAGAATAGTTTACTCATAAAGCTTTTCAGTTTTATGATCTACTGACTACCTCCTTTAGGGAGAGCTTAAACCAATTAAAGTTGGATTTTCTGTCACTTGCAGCCAAAAATTTCCAAATACATTACAAAATCCATTCTGGTGCACAGTTCCTATGGTGCCCAATTTAGTGTTTTTCAAACTTGCATGATCATTAAAATCAGCTGGTGTTAATTAAAAATGCAGATTTCCAGATCACTGTCCTGAAGATTATATTTTATTAAGGTTTCTGGTTTGAAACGTGGTCCTGAGATGTGTGTTATGATCTAGAAGTAAGAAAATCACCATAATAGTACAATATTTACAATATAAAAAAGTTATTAATATGCTACCATATTCCACTTACTAAATATTATATGATTCACAAAATTGCTTAGCAAACCAGCATACGGCTACAGAATCATGGAGTGCTACAGATAGAAAAACAGTAGATACAGCCTGCTCCAATAGCCCATTCCTTGCAATGAGAAATTTATAGCTGAGAGAAGTCATAAACATAAATCCCACAGGGAATTAGTAGCAGAACAAACACTACCACATGAGCCTCCTGCTAGTTTCAATTTATTTTGCTACCAAGCTCACATGTCTAAATTAGAAAATTATGAGAAAAAATATGTAAGTAAAAAGATACTGAAAAATCCACCTTTATTCTTCATGAGTGTAGAAAAATAACTAAAAGGGCTTACAGTATGTTCTAAATTCTTAGCATACTTTTTATGAATGGTCACTCATTATTTGATGATTATAACAACAATGAATACTTTTTAAACAGACCCTAAAAACTTATCCTAACTCATACTATGATTTTGCAATCATAACATTTAATACTCATATACCAAGTATCTTATTTATAATAGAACATTGAGAGATGTTACTGATGAAAGGATTTTGAGAGTATATGTCACTCATTTTTTTTTTTTAAATGAAGCATTAACACCAGAAACTGCTTGAAAAATCAAGTGATCTCAAAGAAATAGTCCCAAACAAGAAAATCATAGGGTTTTACACCAGCTAAGAATTTTTCAAATTTATTTCCCAGCATTCTGAAAAATTTATATAGAGTAGCTCAAGAGGTTGCTCATATAAGGGTTTATATAACATCAGTTGATAGATTGACATTTCCAAAACTTCTTCACATTATAAAATAAAGCATTATGAATTGAACATCCTCATTATTCTTTCTTCCCCTTGAGTAGTCAAAATCAAACGGATTGCCTTCTATAGATCAAATTGTTAAAAAAATATTCCATTAATGTTGCAGAAAGTGATATTTTAAATAATTTGTTGCTATTTCAAAACTCCAATATTATATACACTTTGGCAATGTGCATACTGAAATTGACGTGATACAGAGAAAATTAGCATGGCCCCTGTGCCTAGGTGACACACACACATTTGTGAAGCATTCCATATTTTTAATCCAGTAAAATGATTCAAGATAAAATGGCCATCTTAAGAAAGAATCAAACTGCTATGACAAAGGTGAAAAACTACAAGAATTTCAAAGCACAATCCAAAGTACTAATAGTGGAATAGATCAAGCTGAGGAAAGAATCTTATAGCTCAAAAGCCAGTTTTTTTTAATTAATCTAGTCAGGCAAAAATAATAATAATAAAAAAAGAATAAACAAAACCTCTGATAAACACAGAATAATGTAAAGAGGCAAAACCTATGACTCATTGGCATCCCCAAAGGAGAGGGAAAGAGAGTAAGAAACTTGAAAAACATATTTGAGGATATTGTTTATGAAAATTTCCCCAACCTTGCTAGCAAGGTTAACATTTGAATTTAAGAAATTTAGACAACCTCTGCAAGATATTATACAAGATGACCATCCTCAAGACACAGAATCATCAGATTCTCTAAAATCATGACAAAGAAAAACCATCAAAGGCAGCTAGAGAGAAGGGGAAGGTCATCTACAAAGGGAACTCCATCAAACTAACAGCAGAACTTTAAGCATAAACCCTACAATCCAAAAGAGATTGGGGACTTACATTCAGTATCCTTAAGAAAAGCAATTCCAACCAAGTATTTTATATTTAGCCAAACTAAGCTTCATAAGTGAGGGAGAAATAAAATCTCTATCAGACAAGCAAATGTTAAAGAAATTTGTTGCCACCATACCTGCCTTACAAGAGGTTACTAAGGGATTGCTAAACATGGATATGAAAGGTTGCCACCAACCACCATAAAAACACATTTAAGTTCATAGAACATAGACACCATTAAGAAACTCCACAATCAAGTCTACATAATGATCAGCTAACAACACAATAACAGGATCAAATCCATACACATTAATATTAACCTTGAACATTAATTTCAAGAAGTAGAGCTATGAATTCTATATTTTTAAATTTTTTTTTTCTTAATGTTTCATACCTTAGTATCTAGAGTATCATCTATCCTTCTGGGTTTGGGTTCCTACATCCTATATCAAGGTTAATGTGGACAACAGGATCTTCTTCGGCAACTTGCACAATCACTCATATCTACCAAGCTACTTTGCAGCAATCGGTGGTTTCAGTGATGTTTGAAACACCTGAGTGTTTTTAGAAAGATAATCAGAACAGGACTGTGATATACAATACATTCTTATTTTAATCAAATTAAATTTGAAGATTATCATAGCAATATTTTAAATTTCTTAATTGATGTATATATTACATAGATATAGATATAGATATAACATATATGTATTCTGCTGTACATATGTACCATACTTTCTAAGCAAATAAATGCTAAGGAAGATACATCCCAGGATTAGGAATGATAATAAAAAGAAAATGAATTGAAAGCTATTACATCTTCAACAATTCTTACTGAATTAACTAGTTTAATTCTTACCATATATACATGAAGAAACAAAGAGTATCTCAGGTGGTTTTGCAATTTATCATCCTCTTTTTATTTTTTTAAATATCTTCTTTGTGTAGTTTTACGATGAGTGTTGGCAGGCTAAGATGTAGTGAATTATTTAGAACTGCTTATTCAGATATTGAATCTTCCACTTCAGCTAAACAATCCCTTCCTCTTCTGAAAATTAAAAAATAAGATAATGAAAACCTGCATTTTTCAAGGCTAATGTTTAAGGAGAAATCAAATTTCCACTATTAGTTTTCAGAGCATCAAATGAAGCTTGCAATCTTTTAAAGAAATGTAATCAACAAGTTAAAGTGATAAAAAATGATATTCTAATCACCCAAAATTCTTAATGTAAGGTCCATCAGTAAAAAGAAATAACTTCTTAATCATACCGCTAGGACAAGGCCAATTGACTCCTCCTACTCATCAATGTGTAATAATTTAGGAGAAACATTTCACCATTTCCATAGTAAAGAATTGTAATTCTTACCAATGGCTAATAATCAATATGATTTAGTTAAGAAAAAAGCACAAGCAAATCTGGGTCCGAATAAATGTCAATTCAATTAAAGTAAGAACAGAAAAGCATATATGTATAGAGGAAATTTCTTTCTTAATTGTGTCGTCACTACTAATTAATATAGACTTTATTAGATAGAAACATGAACTATATCAATGATAGCAATTAAAAAATGGATGGGTAGAAAATGCCTGAAAAGGAAATCTAGATATAATAGATAAGTTACTGTATTTACAGCATGAAAGGGATAGGGTTGTAGTGCCAAGTTAAGGATTATGGTATGCAATCCTCTTTCCTAGAAATATATTCTGTTCTCTCATATAAGAAACATGTTCATACACACTCTTCATGTGATCTTACAACTTATGAACTAATAGTTTGTTGTTAATATATTACTCTTTAATTTATTAATAGCAATAATAACAACATTCATAGCTTGTGGCCTTGATCTAAGAATCCTGGTTTCTAAGGTGTGTAAATGAATGGTTCAAATACAGCTTGTGACTTTTTATGCCTAGTAACATTCTGCTTACCAGACACAGCTGGTGACATTGGAAAGCAGAATATTTTGCCTATAAAATAACTTGTAAATATTCACAGACATTTGGTGATTATTCTCAGAAATTTTTAAAAAATAACACTTTAATACAACTTTTATTCCATGGGAAACAACATCTGCAAGCACTAACTAATCGTATTGACACAAGATACTGTCTTGCAGTTGTAATGAAGATGTACTCAAAAACAACTTACCGAATAACCAATTATTGACATCTTTTGCAATTGAATTAATTCACCTTGAAACAGATCATTTATTAATGAAATAAGAGAAAATATATTATTTGGATTTTCTTCTTTAATTCTAGTAACCACCCAAAGCTGACAACCTTAATATTGCTTTTTCTAATAGTATGTGGCTTCATATAGTCTATGATCATTTGGACTACTATTAGAAAACTGATCACATTTCCTTCTTTCATAAGTGTTTTTTAGCATTAAAATGATAGTACAGTGTAGAGTTTTAAAAATTTTTCCTAATATCTCGGAAGTATGTTATATTTTGTCAATTTTATCAGCATGCTTCATTGTAAAAATAATTCCTTAAACGTAAGATTTTCTTTCTTCATTAGAACAAAAATAATGGTGGCAGATTAGACACATTGATGACTATTTGTGAAAAATACTTAAAATCCAGTTTGAAATATATAATTGAATAATGTCATTTACAAACACAGATTGACACAAGTATACTACACTGGCATCTAAAAGCTCTCAAAGTTTGCCATGAGTGGTATGATTTCTAATGTATTTGACTACTCTTAGTAAATTTGGAACCAACTGGAGTACAATACCTTCTCATTTTACTTGTTAGATTTATTTCTAGAACATTCGATGTCATTAAAACCAGGAGAAAAGTATTTTGTGTGAATTTACATTTTAAAATATAACTTTTAAATAATTTTTTCATGTATATATATATATATATTTATAAAGGCATTTGAAAGATAAGTGAGATGTGAAATCATTGTTTCTTATTAAAAGTTGTGCTACACATAGCAGAATGCCTTGTTTCTGTAGTACTAACACTTTAAATGCCAGCATCACCATCTTATCATTGAAACAAAAAGGCTCTCCAATTTAGATAACATTCTTTAAAAATTGCACTGCCCCAATGAGAGTCACAACCTCAGACCATGGCCTCTTAATCTATCCTGTTTGTTGCCTGAAGCACCATATTGATCATGTCACTACTCTGCTTAATATACATAAGATAAACTGCAAATTCCAATATCCTCCATCATCTCGCCCCAAACCCAACTCAGAATTTGTCTCTGTCAAGATACCTTATCTTAATGCTTCCATTCATGAAGCACTCTTACTCGTTCGAACCCATACTTTTTCTTTATGTAGCATTTATGCTGTTCTACACTTTACTTCTGGTATATGTGTCTCTACTTTTATTTTTAACATTATGTGGATTTGGTATAGATGAATCGTTTATTCTAATTGGTATGTTGAGAAATTTTCATCACTAGAAATAAATAACAAATAAAATATTCTATGCTATAAATATTATTCATACACTTACATTTAAAAATAAAATAATATTTAGGTTACAAGAAAACATTCTCTCATTAAAATCTTTTAGGAATACATTTCATTCTAAAGCTCAAATAACAAGATGAAAAATATAAAAATCCTTTTCAGATATTCAATTGCATTTGATTATTGGCAATTTAATCAATAAATTTGCTTTGTTCTCAAATTATTTTTAATTAGAGAGTCATATTCTCACTGAACTCCTAAATTTTTCACTGCATTTCCCCTGGTTCAAAAGTTACAAAAAGGGATTTATGGCCAATAAAACAAAAAATAGAGCCTTTTAGATTGAGGCTGAGACTATGTTTGCAGCTGAATCAAAATGATCTATATAACTTTCAATGGGGCCAATTTGCTACAAAGTCTGCAAGATTCTTTAAGTGACAAGTAAGCTAGATGTCATAGTCCCAGGTATAGAGGGCACACATGCATAAGTCACAGTAAATTGGGTCCATAAAAACATTTATTTTAAAGTGATCTACATGGAAATGTAGACTTAGCCAAAGAGACTTGTTAAATTTGCTCAAGCCTAGAGGTTTTTCTATTAAAGGAAAATGTGCTCTTTATGTTATATATAAATCTTTGGACAAACAACAAAAATATACTTTGCTTTATGTTTATTAAAGAAAATGTAAATGAATAAGCAATTAGAGAACTGAGAGAAAATACTCTCTACTAAAAATATAAAAATTAACTGGGCATGGTGCCTGAGCCTGTAAGTTCCAGGTACTCAGGAGACTGAGGCAGGAGAATCGCTTGAACCAGGGATGCATGGTTTGCAGTGAGTGGAGATTGCACCACTGTACTCCAGCCTGGTGACAGAGCAAGATTCCATCTTATAAATAAACAAACAAACAAATAAATAAAATCCTTTCACTGAAAATATCTTTGTATATCATGTACCTTGGTTTGCCACTTAAGACTGTGT